CTCCGGAAAATGGACGCTAAAACGAAAATAATGTTGTGCAATAAATATCCCTGCAAAGGGTTCGAATCCGCGTGTAATCTAAGGTGCGTTTTTTTCCTCTGTATAATCAAATACTTCTGTTCCATTCATAGCGTCGGACAGGAGGCAGCACTTTTTCGTCCGGTCCATTTCAGTGGGGGAAAGTGACGGGTGTAATCGATGGGATTTTAAACAGTGCAATCCTATGCATGTGTATTCAAAGGTAAACCCCAGATAGTTCAGCTCCTAGTTATATGTGTACAGGATTGCAGTCAAAGTTGAGCCCAACGGCGCACCAAAAATAAAAACCTGACGCACGGTGATCCTGTGCGTAAAAACGAAAAGTAGCGTTCATCAAAGAGAATGTCCAAGGCTGGGGCTCAGTTGTGAAACAACATGTCAACTAAAATGAAAGGGAGGATCACAAATCACGTGCAAGAAATCGTTCGCAGCGATCCTGAACAGCCATAGCTCATCCCCATAGGAGCAAGTACATAAGGCGTGGCAGTGGCTTCTAGGGTTTAAAGCGGGGTACTGCTCTTTTAAGAAATCGACCAGTCCCATAAAAGTGAAGGGAGTTAGAAACTGGTGGGATTAAGTAAAAGCTAAGTACCCGTATTTCACTGGATTCGCCTTGTGACACTGTGCGTGTAGGCCCATAAAGAATATCTATAGAATTTAGGACAGAATCTAGGATTCTCTCTCTCTCTCTCTCTCTCTCTCTCTCTGTGTGTGTGTGTGTGTGTGAGAGAGAGAGAGAGAGAGAGAGGATCCATTATCCAGTTAAACAAAGACTTCTGGGAGAGACTCTTCGCACGATCCATTTCAAGAGGAAAATGCTGATGTTCCAAACCCAGGTGCGGTCCTTATTATACTGAGCATGACCCAGACAAAATTAAGCACCCAAGAGTCCCGCTGAACTCGACGCAAAAGATGGAAACACGTGGTGAAGACTGCTTCCTTCCATCCTTCCTTCTCACTGAACCACCCAGGACTTGAGCGCAGACGCTGGCGAGAGCGCTCTGCCTCTCTTGGCTTCGGAAGGGCTACAAATTTGTTGCTCCCACGGATTTCCAGGGGACAGACTTCTGAGGAAGCCTCCTTCCCTGTCGAGCGCCTAGAAGTGCGCTTGCAGACGAGCCAAGGTGCGTCGACCTGTTTCATCTCAACCCTCGAACTCAACCTATTTCTCTCCAACTTTCTTTCCAGGGCTGCCTGGCAGACGGGGGACTTTCTTTGACTCCCTGACGCAGACAGCCAAGCAATGAGGCCGGGAGGAGCCAGCCTGTTCCTGACAGATTTTTTTTTTTTTAATCTAATTGCGTTGTTATGGATCATCACCAGAACCGTTAGAAGCAGCACACTTCCACGCGTCACTTCTTTGAGTTTTAAATGCATCTTTAACGGATGATTGGGGCTTTCCCGAGCCAGCTGGGAAACACACGAGTCTCAAAATTATATAACAAAAGGTGGCCAGGCTTTGGGGGCGAGCCGAGGACGACAATTTGTTCAAATGAGTGGGAAGACTCAGTTAGATCTATAACTGTCTTCCTCTGCCCGCCACCAACCGCCCCCCACCCAGCCTGTCAAAGGCCTCCCACCATGCAAGAACAAATAGGAGAGGCATTGTTTTGTCTTGACACCAAATTGCGCAAACCACTTTCCAAAGGGGTAGAACGTGCAAGGCGCTTTCGGGAACGTGGATCCTTAAGTGCACTTGTAAATTCTACAGACCCACCAAACTGTAACTGAAACTGGGCCCGCTGGCACTTGCTTCGGAGTAGACGGACGCAAGATCTTACCGCACAGCTCAGCGAATCGGGATGAGCGCAGCGTAAATTCCATTTAAAATTCGTGGGAGTTGCAGCCAAGGAAACGCACGCCGTTTCGAGACTTCTTACTTTCTGAAGGAAGGCGTAGGAAGTGTAGGGGTAGGAGGTCGCATATGCAGCCTTCTAACCTGTGACACACTAAACATTAATAGAGTTTTTAAAGATCTAAGCACCCTCGCCTGGATGTGGCTGTAATAATTACAGTGGTACCTCGGGTTACATACGCTTCAGGTTACATACGCTTCAGGTTACACACTCCGCTAACCCAGAAATAGTGCTTCAGGATAAGAACAGAAATCGTGCTCCGGCAGCGCAGCGGCAGCAGGAGGCCCCATTAGCTAAAGTGGTGCTTCAGGTTAAGAACAGTTTCAGGTTAAGAACAGACCTCCGGAACGAATTAAGTACTTAACCCAAGGTACCACTGTACTAAGTTTTGTTTCTTTTTAAAAGGAAAAAAAGCCTGTAAAGAGTATTATGATCAAATTTTTTAAAAGATATTTTTAAAGTAGCTTAGGTGTTTGATTTGTTCTGGGTTTGTTTGTTTTTGTTGTTGCCGTCTGGTCTTTAAAACCACACGTTTGACAAGAGAAAACGCTCTCTAGCCTACTTCCTTGAGCAAGGTCTCCTCATCTCCTGGCAGAAGGAGGCGATGCGGAGGGGAGCGGAGCAGGGTCCTGGGCGCATCTTTCCAGTTGCGCTCCACGGAAAAGGCAATCCAAGCGCCTTGGAAGAGAGAGAGAGAGAGAGAGAGAGAGAGAGAGAGAGAGAGAGAGAGATCTGGGTCCCGGGAGCAAAGGGAGTTTGCCCGGGCTGAAGATAAGTGGCTCAGTAAGTGCGGGACGGTGTCGCATTGTGACCCGTGAGTGTTTACATTGCAAGGGAGGGTGGAGAGAGAAGAGTCTGAAATGCCCAAGTGTTTGTGAAACCCTATTAAAACTCTCCAGCCAGGGCGGCCAAGTGGAGTGGCTGGCCCCGGGTGAGTTGGGGGGCACCGCTCACCAAATGTTATTGTTGTACCGGGTCCGAGGCTTGTTTGCTCGATCCCCCCTCCCCACTTTCTCCCCACCAGCTGTTGCGAGCGCTGTCATTGTGGCATTTCAGGCGAGAGGTGACAAAGCTCTCCCTCTGTCTCTGGGTCTCGATCTCTCTCGCCATTGGCCCGCAGAGCGAGGAGGGGCGTGCGCTCGCAGCCCGTTTCATTGAGCGGAATTCGCGGGCGTGACATCACTTTGCTGCCCCCCCCTCCGGCAGCGCCTCGCTCATTGGTGCAGCCGCCTGTCCCGGACAATAACATTGTTCTGGCCCAGCTCGGCTGCGCAAGGTGGCTATAAAAACACCAGTCAGGCGTGCAAAGATGCTTCTGTATTCATTGCGCTCTGGGACAGCCACCAGCGCTGCTGGAGAGGATCCGGCCGCTCAGAGAGATCCCCCCTGCAAACTGTAAGTGCTCCTCCCTTTCCATCGCGGGGCAGACTCGCCGACAGGGTCGCTTCGGGAGCGCAAATCCCCTAAAACACAAACCAGGTGCGCTTCGGAGGGTGCAGGCGAGCGAGTACAAGCGCAACCTTCTCCCAGCGCCCATAAAGAAGCGCCTGCTTCTTTGATCGGTTCTTCTCTCCTTCCCTGGCCGCGCTGGGCCTGAGCCACGCGCATTTGCTTAGAAGGAAGTTCGTCTGATGGAACTTTCTCCCGAGTAAACGCCCACTGGTCAATTTTGGGAACAGCGGGAGGCTGGCTGTGATTCCAGGTTAAGGGGAAATAGATGCGGGTGGCTCTTACATTGCCAAGGAAATATTTAAACTTTGGAGAAGATCACGTTGTCCACCTTTAAAGAGGACAAGCGAATTTTCTTTGAAGCTGCCCGGAGTTCAGCATCGTGGAGCTTTTCCCCTTCCTCTTCTACTTCTTCGTCTTAAGAGGGACTTTGGAAACAAGCAACACGCGATAAACTTTGGGCTGGTGTCTTGGTGGCCGCTCAGGCATCTGCCAGTTGCAGGGAAACAACCGAATAGCGGTGTTGTTGTTTTAAATGGTATTGCCTGTGATGTTCGAAGTTGGAAGCTCGGGCGGGATCTTGGAAGAACGGGGAGCGCAGTCTAGATGAGAGATGCGAACAGTCCTGCTTAGGTAGAAAGGGCCGCATGCAAAGACCATTTGGCTTAAAAGGAGACTTCTGAAAGCTCGTTTCCAGATTGCTCCAGCCTGCCCTTTCTGGTTTGGATAGTTTTGGTAAACTGCTCTGAATTGAAAAGAGTGTGTGTGTGTGTGTGTGTGTGTGAGAGAGAGAGAGAGAGAGAGAGAGAGAGAGAGATGGAATCCTTTTGGCTCTAGTTTATGTTGCTTGGCAGGTGTGGGAAGTGAGAAACTACATGGTAGCCGAGGGGGTGCTTTGAGTTTTGGAACAGGAGGTTGCAGCTCGATCAGCAAAGCGGATAACCCAAGACGCAGTTTCTCAGAATCCAACAAATGGATTTTTGCACATCATGTTCCCCCTTAGGGCACCTTTGCTCCCACAATGCGTTTTAACCAAACTTTTTTGAATGCACAATCTGGATGTTTAATGACTGCTAGAAACCTGGGAGAGGTTATTTCAATGGTGGTTTATCTGCGAATAGTCTAATTTAGAGTGACCTGGAGTAGAATATAAGAACAGGTTTTCCTGGGAATTTATTGATCCGGGATAAACTGTGATTTGTAAGTATGTCATCATAATTGGCCATAATCCAGCAATGGAAGCAGACAAATTTACGACTAAGCCCCATTGAGATCGATGGGAATTAACGTTCCGTTGCTTCCCATGGAAATCAATCCCGACTAACTTTTGCTGAATTGCGCCCGTGCCGGGGTTTAAGTCCCACTGAACTCGAGGGGAGGCACATCTTAAAACACCTTTACCCAGAGGTGAGTCCCGCGGAGCTGCCTTTGGAGGGAGCGTGTTTTAAGACGGCAGCGAGCGATTTCGGAGCTGCCTCTTTCCAGCCGGATCCTGTGCACATTGGCTGGGAGGTCGACCTCTCCCGTTTCCAGTCACGGCGCACAGGACCGGAGCTTGGCAAGGCATCCCCTCGATTTCTGGGGCACCTCGGGCTGACCTGACCCTGACTGACGCCCAGCGCCTCTGTCCTCTTGTTCCCCCCCTGCAGGACCAGCATGGACTCGGACGCGAGCTTGGTGTCCAGCCGCCCTTCGTCGCCGGAGCCCGATGAGCTCTTCGTGTCGTCCAGGAGCAAGAGCGGCGGCGGCGGCGGCGGCTTCTCGGCGGGCGGCGCCGTGTCCAGCTCGACGCCCAGCGACTCACCGGCGGAGCTGAGCGCGGAGCTGCGCAGTGCCATGAGCGCGGCCGGGGTGGTGATGGTAGACAAGCTGGCCTTCAAGTCTCCCTCCTCCTCCTCTTCCTCGTCGTCGTCGTCCTCTTCGTCGGCGTCCAAGAAGGACAAGAAGCAAATGACGGAGCCGGAGCTACAGCAGTTGCGCCTGAAGATCAACAGCCGCGAGCGCAAGCGGATGCACGACCTGAACATCGCCATGGACGGCCTGCGGGAGGTGATGCCCTACGCGCACGGCCCGTCGGTGCGCAAGCTCTCCAAGATCGCCACCCTTCTGCTGGCGCGCAACTACATCCTCATGCTCACCAACTCCCTCGAGGAGATGAAGAGGCTCCTCAGCGAGATCTACGGCGGCCACCACGCCGCCGGCTTCCACCCCGCCGCCGCAGCCGCCGCTGCCGCAGCCGCCTGCCCAGGCGGCATGGTGGGCCATTCCGCGCCTCTGCCGGGCCACCCGGCTTCGCACGCCGTGCACCACCCGATCCTGCCCCCCGCCGCTGTCTCCAGCGCCTCCCTGCCCGGTTCCGCGGGCTTGTCGGCTGTCAGCTCCATCCGGCCCAGCCACGGCCTCCTCAAGTCGCCGTCGAGCGCCGCCGCCGCCGCCGCTGCTGCCGCTGCTGCAGCGGCGGCGGCAGCGGCTTCGGGCCCGCTGGGCAGCAGCTTCCAGCACTGGGGAGGGATGCCGTGTCCCTGCAGCATGTGCCAGGTGCCCGCCCCGTCCCACCACCACGTCTCCAGCATGAACACGGCCAGCCTGCCCAGATTAACCAGCGACGCCAAATGAAGAGGCCTCGACGGGACGGGAGAGAGGGAAGGTGGGTGGGAAGGAGAGGGGCCGAAAGGGACCCCCAAGGACAAAAAAAGAGTCCTGGACTCCACAAACTGAAGCTCTCCCTTCCAGGACGTACAAAACTTGACCCCCACCCTTTATTACTTCACAACAACTCTCCCCGGCCGCTTCCCCCAACTAAGACTCCGTTACTTACTTGGAGAGGGAATAGAACTCAAGACCCCGGACGCTAAAGCCCCTCTGCCTTCTCCGCCGAACTGCTGCAGAAAGCTGGCCCGGGCGGAACAGGATTCCTCTTGAACTCCATCGCTTGGCTTCACTCTGATCTCAGTCCCCGTTGTGCGTAAACTCACCGCGCATTGCTTTCGGAACCTTGTATGTCGTTGTTCTTTAAAAACAGTAGAAGGTGCAAGTAAGTTTAGGCACTCGCCTTCAAACCAGAGGTACCCAAACTGCCTTAGCAGCCTAGCATCTCTCTCTCTCTCTCCCTGGGTGGGGGGAATATTCAGTCCTGCACACTTTATAACTGGACGTCCAGTCCTTTGGAAATCCGTGGGGTTCACTTCCCAGGAAATGCATCACAGAGGACTTTAATTCCACCTGAAACTGAGCAGATTTGCTTACAAGTAGGCTCCGCTGCTGGTTTAAGTTCCAGGTAGCAGCAACTGAATCCTGAACCCGCTAGGCTGAAGGGGCCACTGAGACTAGTGAGTTGTGGTTCCAAAGAGGGGGCACGATCCAACCAGAGTCAGGCAGCTTGGAGAGCCAACGAAGAATCTTGTGGCACCTTCGAGGCATTGATTTTGGCATCAGCTCTGGCGGGCTAAAGACTGTGTCTTCAGGTGCGTGGCTTGCTACAAGGCTCTTGGTCGGTCTCGCTGCGCTGCCGCCCCTCTGGAAAGTGTGACTTTCCATGTGTCTCTAAATATGATCCTACATGCATGTAAACAAGTCCGGCGAAATGCAACAGGGCTTACTACCAAGGTCCTTGAGCGTGAAGAATTGCAACAGAAATGTTGACTGGATCGTGCCCAAGCTGGTTAGGATGGCCACGCTAAAATGCCGAGCGGGATCACTTTGGGCCTGCGTCATTCGAGCGGCCAAGCTAAGGGGGAAAGTTCTGCATTTTGCTGCTGGGGAGTCGGATTTGTATATACGCTGCCAGATCTGGTGCAAATGGTTCCTTCTGACGCTTTCTGATTGTGAGGGCTTGTTCTGTAAAACCTTTAAGGGCGGGGTGCGTGTTAAGGGCCTTTTCTTCTTTCCGGGCGCGTGGCCTTAAGGCTTTCTTGATCAAACTTAACTGGTTTTTCGAAAGCGCCCCACAGACGAGATCCCCGCACTGTTTGGGGCTGCAGTATTGAGACACTCCCCCCCCCTCGCTTGTTTCTGAATAACCTATTGTCTTCTTCTTTTCTTAGCGCTGTCACCTTCAAGAGATTTTTTATCACCTGTTTATTTTTTTATATATATTATCTATATAAAATAAAGAAATGGAAAAAAAGTTGCTAAATAATATTTATTGTTTGGTTGCAAAAAAAAAGTGATCCACTGTTGACATTTTTAAATAATAATAAAAGAAATAAAAGAAAGAGAAAACACGACCGTTTTGCATTTATTTCCTTTGTGAGATGTTCTCCAGACAGGATAATGAAGCCATTCGGTGGGAATGAGACTCATCTGAGGAATCGCCATCCTCACGGGATGAAGGCCAGCGCCTTGGCGATGAAGCGGAAGACTCCTCGCTTTTCTCCGAGCACATATTCTGAAAAACTAACTCCCCCTTCACTTAAATAGGAACTTTATTCTGAGTACAAGATGTGTTGGATCGAGCTTCAAGTGCTCATATTATGGGCACTCAATGGGCACAGGATCGGGGCCACATTATTAAAAGACCAACGGCTTCCGGCCCTCTCCTAGGCATGCCTACTGGGAAGGAAGCCCTGCGGTGTTCGGTGGAGCTTTCCTTTCCAGTAACTGTGCCTTGGATTGCGGCTCCAAACTATCATTCCGGGTGCGTGCTTGGCTTTGCAACAAACTCTTTCTGTATGCAGCCCAAGCCTTTGCACGTCCGTACGAAAGAGAAGCTGTAATCCTACGCACACTTCACTGGGAGTCAATCCCGTTAAAAAAGAAGGCATGGATAGGATCGCGCCTTTTCCTCACGCATAGTATTGCAGCCTTAAGGCTCGGGGAGTTCTGAATCAGCTATATATCTTAAGGGCCAGACTTGTTTCTAAGGGGCGAAATTGCCACCTAGGGAGGACAGAAATAAGGGCAGGTGGCCAGTCTTTTTAAAGAGGGAGGAAGTCAAAGGCGCTCAATCTCAAGTGTGATCTTACGCCTTGCGTATCCAGTGGGCTGTGCTGGGCAAAGAGGCTCTTAGTCGTTTTAGGACATTTCAGCCCTAGATGCAGTGATGGGAGATGGGTGGGATGGAATCTTCACCACCTCCTCCACCACCACCATCATCATCACGGTGCACCAACACCAGAGGTGAGGAACTTGCGGTTCCCCAGATGTTGTTCAACTCCCAACACCCCCAGGCTGCATGGCCCATGGTCAAGGTCTCAGCGATGGTGTGAGTTGTAGTACAGCAACATCTGGAGGCCCACAGGTCCCCCGGCCCGACCCTACATAATTTGCCCCCGCGAGGAACTAATGCAGGCGATCTCGAAGTTCTTGGAATCAGCGGTCCCAAACGCACCCTCTGGGATCACACCATCTGTAGGCTTATGACTACAGGGGTCCTTTCTGACCGAGCTCAGATAGAAAGAGGATTCCGGGCCGAATCACGGAAGCGCCATTGGATTTGCTTCCAAGGAGCTGTGTTTAGGATTGCGTGCTCCGAAGCAACTGCGCGGAAACCTCCAGCCCTGCGGCAAGGAGTATTCCATTGGAATTGACTTCCAAGTGACACGTGCGGCAGTGGACAGTGGCTTTGTCAGCTTTTTACTTTTCCATCCATCCATTCACTCTCTCACTCTCTCGAGTCACCAGTCACAGACAGCTGCAAAATGATGGCGCAGATTATTCCTGCTGTTTTAGATTGAAGGGCCAGGGGGTCGCAGGGGACATGCTCAACCCAAGACTTCCTTTTCGGGATCAGGTCTGACCTCAGTCCTTTTACACACAAATCACTCCTGCGCGCACTCCCCAAGTCTTTTTTTTTATATTTTCTTTCCCATTTCTGCAACTTGATTTGAGAGGGGAGGACGCTTTTCGTTCTTGCTAAATAATCGGGAGTCCAAATGCGTTTGCAGATCTATCTACTACAAATTACCAGTTAGTTGATCGCGGTCCATCTTCTACCCAGCCCAGGACCGGATTCGAAGCACAGAAATCGAAACTGCAAAGGGCGGGAGGAGGCGGGGGAAATTGCAACCCTAGGAACGTGAAAACCGGCTTCTTACGACGCCGTCCACGAATGAGACAGGACTTTAATCCAATAATACTTCTATTTCTGAAAGGCATCCTGGCATATTATACGTTCTGAAAATAACTATTTTTCATCTGACTAGAACAGAAGTTCGAAACTGCTCTCCTCTCCTCAAAAGTGGCGCACTGTAGCCATCATCTTGGTCCTTCGGTTCACCGCCCACTTCCTTCAAGTTTCTAGGCCTCATTATTTTTCTTTTTTTACAATTAAGTCACTCTATAAACATTTTAGCGAAGGGAGGGAACCATCCCTCAGATGCTGAGAGGGAACCCGACCCCTTCAAGTAATTTTCCAAAGCAAAGGTTTTAAACAATCTTGGTTGGATTCACACAACGATTTAATAGCTTCTAAATCATTAGAAGGCGTGGAAGTAAGTTTACGTTGCAGACATTTAAAATTAAATCTTTGCTGAAGCACGTAAACAGGCCCTAAGCATCTCTGAGCATGTGCCAAGTGTTGCTACTCAAACGCCGCCTATCTGGGATGAGTTCGCCAGGTCCCAGAGAGGGTGTGATTTCCAGGTAGGCTTAAGTTTCTGCACCGGCCATTAAAAAAACAAACTCTGCCTCTCAGGTTTCCATGTGTTAATGCTCTGAGTTCTAATCCCGGGGGTTTGACTAATAGGAAACGCCTTCAATCTGCTCCGCAGGAGGACTCATTAACAGATTTAGCGCTGGAGGAGAGCCGAGGTTCGAGGCTCAGGTCACGGAAGACAGCTGCCGAGTTCCCACCGGCTCGGATTGGTGTAGGGAGATCTAGATCTAAAATATTTTCTCTTTCAGCTGGCTGAAGGAGGGCGACGCCAAAACAGTTCATACCGTCAAAAGCAGGCAGCGATCTTTGAGATGGCACCCGAGAAAAACGCGTTTCCCAGAATCTGATTTCCTCGAGACATTCTGCACAGCGCTGGGGGAAGCAGCTGGGCCAGGCTACCTAATAACTGGACGTTGCTGTCTCCTTAGGGGACGAGCAGATCGTACTTCTCCATTGCTTTCCATACGTATAAATTAAAATTATTTGTACAGGCAGCTAATCAGAACCTTTTCGAAACAAATTACTGCTGTTGAGATTAATCCAAAGTACTAATAAATCGAAGGCTAAGGCCAAATTCTCTTGTTTGGCCAACCACACTCCCTTAAAATGTAGAGAAAGCATTTGCAAACACGCCCAGTGATCCCCCAAGTTCAGAACCCTTTCCTGGAAACTGGTCCTGCCTCTCAAATTATAGGGTTGCCAAGTTTCGTGGTGGCCTTTTCGGCTGTGCTCCCGCGCACCTGTTAGAACAACCTGGCTTGGAGAAAATCGGCAGGTGACGCTTTTTCTTCACTAGAACCAAACTTACTTTATTTAGCAAAAAATTATATACCGCTTGCTTTCAAAACAAACCACTAAGGCAGCGGTTTACAAATGACCTGCTAAGCTGCTGCAGGGTGTCAGGTTGCTGTGGAAGATGCTCGGGTGCAGGGCAGGCATAATGATAAGAAGAATAAAGGATGATGACGATTGCTAACCCGAAGTTAGCAATGCCTGCTATAATGGGGCAAGATCCTGCCCC